AAAGCAGGAATTTTGTTTTCTTTTGTGTCCTGATTGTCCAAGTTAGATAGCATACTGTCAGCAGTCAAGGCAAGTGTTTTCTTGCCCAGTAGATAAACTTGCCACAATCAAAGAAAACTCCATATGTAGGTTCTTTGATGCCCATGATCCTTTTTAGAAGTATATTGGTGCTGCCAGGAGCTAAAATGTCCCACTGTCATAAAAATACTTAGGTTATTAAAACATCTTAAATTCCATATTCTATAGGTCTCTGTAGTGTTGGAAGACCACTTATCTATCTAAATATATATAATGTTGAAAACATGCTTAATGTGACTACAAGTTTGATTACTATAGATAACTAACTACTAACCTATATTTTTATATTAAATATTATATTTTTAATGAGTTGCATAGGTACAAATACCTTAAAGAAGAGTAGAAACATATAAACAGTGTAGCAAAATAATTTTAAAATTGTATCAATTTACAAAAATCCATACCAATATAAAATATTTGAGACTAAAATATTTGAGAGCTTTTTAGACTAAAAATAGGTTCAGTAATGTATTCTTTTATCCTATCATTTCCATATACCAATTTTTTCTTTTCATAAACAGATCCTTGAATCCGACCTCCATTGCTTAGTTTCCTTCCTTTTTATGACCAGTAATAATTCACAACCAACTGCCCAAATGATGACAAATATCCATAAACCACCAAATGAAAAAAACCACCTACCTCACATCTTGGAAACATAGGTTTTGTGTTATCTAGACTGCTTCCTGTTGTACCAGGTGATGTAATCTTTAGGGGACCCTGAGAAAATTAAGATAATGGTCAAGTCCCTTGAGAGCTACCTGTTGTCCAGTCTCTGTATGATGGGAAAATTTAAGGCTTATCTAAAGTCTGGCTGGAATATTCTGTGATAATGAACTCTCTCTAGCAGGTTTGAAGTTGTTCTGATGCAGAATTTTATGGAAACTGCAACAGAGGCATTCTGAAAGGCTGGGTCACCTGGGCTACTTGTCTTTATTGGTGTCTGGCCTTTTTGTTCTGAAAACACAGAAAATTTAAGCCCACCATGTAGCTCTGCACATGGTGCTGACTGGCTCAAATGAGCAGGCAGTGGTCACCCAAGAGACTGCAGGACTAGGAAGCCACATCTGGCTCCATGTTTAGAACTTTTTCAAAGCTGTTTTGTGTCCTATGTGAAAATACTTGCATTCACATTGGATGCCCTATGTAAGGAGTCTTTCTCTGGCCCATCAACTAGCTCCCAAATTAACATGGAGACCTTTGTTAATTATGAAAGATCAGCCTATATCTTTGGCTTATTCCTAACAAGTTCTTGTAATTTAAATTAACCCATTTTTATTCATCTTCATCATGTCATGTGGCTCAGTTACTTCTTTTGCATTTTGTAGCTTTGACCTGTTCTGAGTCTCCTGGAATCTCTCTGGCATAATCTGTATACTTAGATTCCCTCTCCTCTTCTTTTCTCTCCTTGGAAATCCTGCCTATCTCTCCTACCTACCTATAATGTTGTAACTTCTTTTCCACGTTGCAGCTCCAGTTTGTTCCATGTATCGGTTGTCTGGCTGTTACTCTGCCTTTCTTCTTCCTAGAGTTCTGTCTCTGCCCAGATTTTCCATCTATACCTCCTGCCTAGCTATTGGACATTCAGCCTTTCATTATCCCAATCACATCAAAATCTTTCCACACAGTGTACAAATATCCTACCACAAAGTGATACCTACACATGAGACAATATAGGTATGGATAAAAGTAGGAATTAATCTATTTTAGTGTCACAGTGGGCACCAGACAGTAATGTGAGCTATTGCAGTGCCCATCTGCAGATAGAGCACACAGCATACACAGCTACCAACATTTTCTTAGAGCCCTGACCCTACCTCAAACTCCACAGAGGAGGAATTCTCACTACAATGATCCTTAAGAAGGGTAGGTTCAGGGACTGATCAATGTCAGCCTCTTTTCTTTTTTCCCTGTTGCCAAAATTATCTTTAATTTTTTTGTTTAAAAGTTTTTTTTTTCATTTTACCTACCAAACACAGTTCCCCCTTCCTGTCTTCCTCCTTTGCTCCCACTAACCCCCCACCTTCCCCACCTTAACACCATCCACCCCCCAGAGAGGGTAAGGACTCCCATGTGGAGTCAATAAAATCTGGCATATCAAGTTGAGGCAGGAGCAAGCCCCTCCCCCTAATCGATAGCCTCTTTTCTTGAACACGGAACCTTCTGCATTTTGGGAACTTTAGTTTTCACTTCTGCTTTTCAGCTCATGATTTTGATGACCTTCACAGTTTAGAATTAATATAGTAACCATCTCCAAAACAGGAGAGCAGAGAAGGGCCCTTTAACTATAACATTTACATAACCAAAACACTCTTCTACCTGAATTACACTGTAAAAGTCTGAAAGTTAATCATTCCTTAATCATCAAAGTCACAAAACCTCCTGAACCCATAAGTATGGGGAAACTGATGGTGATATTAGACAATCAGGATGGCGCTGATGCTCATAGTTGAGATGCCAACACCATTTAAATTGGAATGAACATTTGTGGATCAACAAACATTAATTTAATTCAGCTTTCACAAAAACTAGAAGGATTCTGAACAATAAAATAAGAACACTTAAGATAAAAGACAGCTGAGAGGTTGTTCCTATGGGAATCATGTATGTTGGTAAGAAAATGACATGAATCTATCAGCAATTATTTAGCATAGACTCAAATCAGAGCCATGAGAATAACACATTTCCTTCTCCGTTTCCATGGATTTCTCCCGTGTGTTCATCCAGGAGCTCTGAAGAATCAGGTGCTCTTGTGTCCCTTCTGTTCTGTTTGATCCCAACAGCATCAGCCTGCATCTCCCCTTGTTGTAGAACAGTGCTCTCCAGGCATGGCAGTACTCTTGACCTGTGAGTCTCTGTAGCTGTGATTACACACAGGTCACATGCACAAGATTGGCCCCATCAGTATTCTTTCATGTAGTAGATGCATCTAAGGCCACTCCTCCCCCATTGAAAATATTGGCAGTTAAAAGTTGTAGGCAAAGCATTTTTTTCAGGGATATAACCACTGAGAAGTTTCCAAAATTGCTGGGCATAGTGGAGCACACTGTTTTCAACAGTTGGGTGTGAGACTGGTTGGTGGATCTAGTCTGGTCTACATAGTGAGTTCCAGGACAGCCAGAGCTACATAGTGAGAACCTGTTTCAGCAAACAAAAAACAAAAACTGAATACCAAAATGCCCAAATATTGACAACACACTTTTAAGGAACCCTAATAAAACTCATTGCTTCACCAGCTAGGTTTGTGTGGAGTCTTGTTCTTGTTTCTATCACTGGTGTCTCATGTGTCATGTGTAGGCATTGTTCTTGTATCCCTAGTTAAAGTTCATACAACATTCCCAAAGCATCTCCCAGGCAGGCTAGAAAACTGGTGATGAGTTTGGTCGGGCTGATAAAGAAAAGGAGAACCAAGAAGAAACTCTAAGAGAAAAAGACCAACCACCTCAGAGTCCCGCAAGTGAAAGAGTTGGCTGAGGAAGTCACCAGGTTTATTGTGCATTAAGTCCTGGTCTGTGGTGAGTGGGAGCACACAGGCAGACGTAGAGGGTTACAGTGGAGATGTTCTGCAGGAACTGACCACAATGAGATTGGGCTTTTAATCCCAGCACACAGAAAGCTGAGGGAGAAGGAGGAGGAGTCTGAGACCCACATGAATTTTAAGAAGTTCTGTCAAAGAAACAAAAAGAAAAACTAAAGACCCACAGAGATACAAAGCCACAAATTCTGGAGCCCATCCCATCACAGCACCAGAAAGAAAAGAAGAGTCAGGCGCCTGGTTAGAGCAGTTCCTCTTCCTCAGGCACTGCCAGTAAGACATCCTTATGACAGGAAGCAGAAATCAGCCTGCCTAGGTCACACATTTTGTGTCTGTGTGTGTTTGGAAAGGAGGCCAATCGTCTGCACACTTGTGGCAACTGGAAGATACCATGAAACCCTTTCTTACAGTCCTGCTGTATCTCGGTGAGATAACAAATGGGGAGGGAGGATTCTCTTCTATGAGGGAATCCACCTCACAACCACGATTTGGGCCATCAGGATGTCTCAGAAATTGTAGAAGGGACCTGGGAGTGGAGGCCCTGCTCTTGTTTAATTTCAAGCACTCACAGGTAATTCTATTGCAGGACTGAGTCTGGACCTCAGGATCCCAGTACTGGCAGGTGAGTGTCTTCTAAGCTGCCCCAGTTTGGACATCCTTGGTGGGGATCACACGTCACTCATGAACAGAGCATATGGTAAACAGCAGGTGTGGCCTGATGCTGGGGAATGTCTAAATTTCCTATGTCTGAGAGCTTACATCTGAGGGAGAGTTCTGGGAAAGCAGCTGTCAATTTTCTTTCAGGGGCCCTCTCTAAACCTACACTCTGGGCAGTGCCAAGAAATGTGGTAGCCATTGGGAACCAGGTGACATTCTTCTGTGAAGGGCCCTTAGAGGCCAAAGAATATGTTCTCTACAAAGAAGGAAGTCCAGATTCCCCAATACCAACAACCGTTCTAAAAACTGAAAACAAAGCCACATTCTCCATCTCATCGGTTGAATGGAACAATGCAGGCCGATATTGGTGTGGATATAAAAGCAACAATGGAATGTCAGAAAAAAGTGACTCCCTGGAGCTGGTGGTGACAGGTGAGAGGACTTTACCATTTCCAGATTCTGCCTTAAGGAAAGGAACATGTTCACTGAGAGTTCCTTTCTCAAATATGAGAAAGGAGAAAAATGCTTTTCATGTAAGTCCACATGGCAGGCTTTCTCTTCTCTCCTAGGATATGACTCAAGCAAAGTCACCTTGTCTGCCATTTCCAGCGCTGTGGTGACCTCAGGAGGGCACGTGACCCTTCAGTGTGTCTCAGAAGAGGCATATAACATGTTTATTCTAATGAAGGAAGATGAGAAGTTCTCCAGGCCTTTGCCCTCACAGAAAATACACCCTGAGCTATTTGGAGCCCTGTTCACTGTGGGTCCTGTGACCCCCAACCAGAGGTGGAGGTTCACATGCTATGGCTATGATTTGAGCACCCCCCAGCTCTGGTCAGTGTCCAGTAACCACATAGAGCTCCTGGTCTCAGGTAAGGAAGTGCAGAACTTTCCTTGACATGATATTGTAGCTGACACAGGATCCCAGGAAAGGACCTGATGTGTTGTGGGTGATCTCCAGGCACAGCTGCTGAACTCAGATTCACAGATCTGTGGGACAGCTTGACTTCAGGTGCAGAAATTGGTGTCTAATTAACAGTGGAACTCAAAATCCAGGAAATAGTGAGGTCTTTAAGTGTCCTTCTATAATTGCAAATTAGTTTAGATGTCAGGGGAAATGTGACCTTCTTTGTGATATTCTCCTAACAGATGCACCTCCTTCTTTTCTACTTTTGGGCAGGGATCCTTCATAAACCCACCATCTGGGCTCATCCTGGCTCTGTGATCCCCTCAGGGAGTCCTGTTACCATCAGGTGTCAGGCAACCCTGGGAGCCCAAACCTACGTGATATATAAAGAGCAAAGGCAAGAGCCCTGGGTCCAACAGACTCACACAGACAACAAAGAGGCAAAACTCACCATTCCATCTGCGACACAAGTGCAGGCAGGCCGATATCACTGTTACACCTACACCTCTAAGGGATGGTCACAACGCAGTGACCCTTTAGAGCTTGTGGTGACAGGTGAGAAGACACCAGAAATCTTAACCCCAGATGTCACTCTCAAGAAAAGACTGCACTAACAGTACCTCCCATCAAAGGACAGCCTTGGGGTGGAGGTAATTCGGGCTTTGTGATCCTCTTTAATTTTCCATGTGTATTTCTTCTAGGAGTCTACAACAAACCCACCCTGTCAACCATGCACATTCCTGTTGTAAACTTAGGAGGGTTTGTGACCCTCTCTTGTACCTCAAGTCAGAGATATGACTGGTTCATTTTAACAAAGAATGGTCAGAAGTTCTCCATCCCTCAGAGCTCAAGACACACACCCACTGGGATGTTCTTGGCTGAGTTTCGAGTGGGTCCAGTGACCTCTAGCCAGAGGTGGAGGTTCAGATGCATGGCTTTTACACAAATAACTCTCAGGTCTGGTTAGAAGGAAGCGAGGTCCTGGAGCTCCTGGTCTCAGGTGAGGAAGCCTCAGACTCTCTGTGGAATCAGGTTGCACCTGAGTCATGTTCCCAGTGAAGACCAGGGTTGTGATATGTCTGTGGAATCAGGGCTCCTGAGAAAACTGACACAACATGGAGACTGTGGGAGTCACTGTGCAGAAAATGGGGGGGGGCATAGTGAGACTGGGGCTTGGTGAGGTCAGGAGACGAATGACTATTCCCATGACATTATTTGTCCTTTGCTAATCAAGGGTAAATTTCAAGATCAACAGCATGCTTAATGTTTACTGTGTAACCATTCCAAATCCCCTCTCCTTCTCACATATTTTCCTGCAGGGAACCTTCAGAAACCCATCTTGTGGGCTGAACCAAGTTCTGTGATTTCCTCTGGAAATGTTGTGACCATCTGGTGTGAGGGGTCCAAGGAAACCCAAATATATTTCCTGTATAAAGAAGGAAGCTCAGCACCCTGGGACAGTCAAACTCCAAAAGTTCCTGGTAACAAGGCCATGTTCTCCATAGCATCCATGGAAAAGCATCATGCAGGGCAATATTGCTGTTACTCTTACAAATCTACAGGCTGGACAGAGCACAGTGACCCCCTAGTGCTGGTGGTGACAGGTGGGTGAGAGGACACTTCTCCAACACTAGGACCATTCTTGAGGAAAGGAATATGTTCACTGTAGTGTGTCCTCATATTCCAAAAGAGAGTAAATTGTTTACCATGTGATTCCACTTACCATGCTTCCTATTTCTTCCTAGGAGTTTACCCCACTAAAATCACCCTGTCAGCCCTTTCCAGCCCTGTGGTGACCTCAGGAGGAAATGGGACCTTTCAGTGTGTCTCACAAAAAGCATATAACAGGTTCATTCTAACGAAGGAAGATGAGAAGTTCTCCAGGCCTTTGCCCTCACAGAATATACATCCTGAGCTATTTGGAACTGTGTTCACAGTGGGTCCTGTGACCCCCAACCAGAGGTGGAGGCTCACATGCTATGGCTATGATTGGAGCAACGCACAGGCGTGGTCAGTGCCCAGTAACCACCTAGAGCTCCTGGTCTCAGGTAAGGAAGTGTAGGACTCTCCTTTGACTGTAATTATAACTGACACAGGATCCCAGGAAAGGACCTGTTGTGTAGTGAGTCATTGTGAGCCAGGGCTACTGAACTCAATGTCTCAGAATATGTGATACAGCTTGACCTGAGGAACAGAAACCAGGGTTGACATTAAGGATGCAATTTAATTTCCATGGGAAATTGTGGTTTTTATGTGTCCTTCTGCTATTGCAGATCAGCCTATGTGTCCCTGCAATGGTGACCTTCTCTGTGCAATTCTCCTAACAGATGCAGTTCCTTTCTTTCTTCTTTGATGGGGCCCTTCATAATCCCTCAATATGGGCTGCGCCAGGTTCTATGATAACATCAGAGAGTCCTGTCACCATCTGGTGTGAGTGGACCTGGTAAGCCAAACATATGAGCTAAACAAAGAGGGAAGCCTAGACCCCTCAGGCAGAGAGACCCAAAAGAATCACAACAATAAGGCAAAATTCACCATCCCTTGTGATATCACTGCAGACAGGCTGATATCACTGTTACTCTCACAACTTTGCTGGCTTGTCAGAAGGCAGGGACACCCTGGACCTAACTATCCAGACAGGATAGTCTGGAGTCATGTGGATCCCCAGATGTGACTCTTAATATGAGGGTGTGTTCTGAATATATCCCCATGTGTCAGTCAGGCCTGGGGGACAATCCACACTGTGAGAACCCATTTAATATTCCATATGTATCTCTCCTACATGTCCAACATAAACCACCCTGTTTTCACTGCCAAACCCTGTTGCACTCCTAGAAGGCTCTGTGATCCTCTCATGTACTTAAATCAGAGATACAACTGATTCATTTTAATTAAGCATAAACAATTCTTCATCTCCATGTGCTTACAAAATATATATGATGGGCTGTCTCTAGCCAGGTTCCAGGTTTGTCCCATCACACTCAGTAAAAGATGGAGGTTAGCAACCCTCAAGTGTTGTCAGAAGGTAATGACATACTGTAGCATCTAGTCTCAGAGGAAGCCCCAGTCTCTCTGTTGATTGACACTGAATTTGAAACAGGTTTCCCAGGAGACCCTAATGTGTGATGAGTTAAGGAAAGGACAGGTCCATTAGCCCAATGATACAGAATCAGACCGTGGGAGTGAAGGTAGAGAAACCAATGAGGGGTCTTGTGAGAATGAAACCTGGTAGTTAGCAGAGAGATGGATCTTCAGATTGCTGCATGTTTCCTTCTGTTATTCAAGCCTCAAGTCTGAGTTTCACATTAACTGTACAACTGTTTAAAGTCCCACATCCTTCTCACTTACCTCTTTTCAGGGACGCTCCAGAAACCCACAATCTGGGCTGAGCCAGGCTCTGTGATTACCTCAGGGAAACCTGTGACAATCTGGTTTGAGGGGTCCAAGGAAACCCAAATATATTTCCTGTATAAAGAAGGAAGCTCAGCACCCTGGGACAGTCAAACTCCCAAAGGTGCTGGTAACAAGGCCATGTTCTCCATAGCATCCATGGAAAAGCATCACGCAGGGCAATATCGCTGTTACTCTTATGAATCTACAGGCTGGACAGAGTGCAGTGACGCCCTGGAGCTGGTGGTGACAGGTGAGAGGACACTGTGGGTCACGGTCCTCACCTTTTCCTGTGGGGCCGCTGAAAGCTTTGCTGCATGCAGGAAAATGACGCACATGAAGTAACAAGGAAACCTCAGATCAGGCTGACATAGTAGTTGCCAGTTCACACTCTTAAAAGTCTGAAACCAGGTCAATAATTGCAAGCAAATTTAAACACAGACAATTCTGAAGAAAAAAAAAGATTACTGGTGTAATCAAAACCCTAATGAACAACTAGGCATAATTACATCAAACTCAAATCAGAGTACATTTGAACGTGAAGATTGATTTTATATCTTGAGGGCCTTTGTTCTGGTGTTGTCTCTGACTGAGGTAATGCCAATGTCAGCAGGCTAAAAAGTATATGTGACATCTCCCCAAAGGATGAGCTTTATTAATGAATGCCAATGATAAAGGTCTAGGGAGGTGAGTCTGTGATAAACATCCTCAGGGATTCAGGTGAGGTTTGGATCTACAGATGGAAAGGTCACCTGGGTATTAACAACATCCACTCATAGCTTTCTTAATAGAAAACAGGATTTTATCTCCTGCATTGAGCAGACACACTACATGAGTAACATTTCTGATTTCTCCCATATTATTTTTGAATCTGAGTACATTATGCCCTCCACATTTTCCCTCAGGAAATACATCTCTAAACATTTTAAGCCATAGCCCAGTCGCTGCAGACAATGTATTATTTAACAGACACTGGGTTGAATCCTCAGCAATTCACCTTCTCTCAAGGTGTCTTTTGGGGCAGGAAAAACTACTGGAAGTGTTCAGAGATGGTCCCATGTACATGGCTATAACAATGATAGGTATTAAATACAAACAGTCCACATTGGGTGTTCACACAGTAGGTTCTTTATTATTTATCTATTGATTGATTGATTGACTGATTCTTTTCTAATACAATACATTCCAATTGCCACTTCCGTTCCCTTCACTCTTTTGAGTTCCCGCAAACACATCCACTCTTCCCCACATCATTACTCCTGTCCTATCTCCTCCAGGAAGAGAAGACCACTTAGGGGCATTAACTGAACATGGCACAACATGATATCATAATATTCAGCAGAAACCCTTGCCTCAAGTCAGGTGATGGAGAATAGTCGAAAGAATAGAGTCTCAAGAGCAGGCAAAAGTGTCAGATGCACCCACACCACCACTCTCAGAAGTCTCCCACAAAACACCAAACTAAGAACCCTAACATATGTGCAGAGGACCTAGTCCAGACCCATGAAGACTCTGTGATTGCCTCTTCAGTCACACACTGTATATTCTAATTTACAGTCTTCATTCATGATGTCCCCTGTCTCATAGAACTGGAAGGATACCAAAAGGCTGTGATTGGTGTCTCTGTGGCCTTATTCCTCCTGCTCTTCCTGCTCATCCTCTTCTTTTTCCTCAGACTCAGGCATCAGAAGAACGACAGGAAGTGGGGTGAGTAGGGTGTGGGAGGCCTGGGTCTCAGTGTGGAGTGGGTCCCACTACGGGCTATCTAAGCAGAGGCCCAGGGCATCAGCCCCAGGGAAAGCCCAGACTGGGATACATGAGCTTAGAAACACTTCTGTAGAATCCCAACACAAAATGAGATCTGGAAATGTGTGCAATGTCCTCTATTGTATGGACTCTTACATCGACTGGAGGATTTTAACAGACATGCAATGAGTTGGTCCCTTCTTTTTCTGAAAGTGCTAGGTAGGGGGCTCAACCCTCCTGGCTGAGGCTCCTTCCTCCCTTCCAGTGCAGACAAAGACTGACTTGCAACCTCCTGCAGACTCAGCGAACAAGGGCGAAAGCTTCCAGAAGAGGTAACTCATGCCCAGAAACATTGACCTCACCTGCCTGACTCCATTGCTGTCAGTTGACACCCTCTTCTTTCCACAGATCCACAACAGCTCCTGCCATCCAGGAAGAAATCTTGTGTGAGAGGAAGAGGACCCGGGAGGAGGGAGATGTCTGAGATCTCAGCATCACAGGGGTGGAGGAAGGCCTGGGACACTGAACCCTCTCTGTGCACCCTCACCCCCGACATCTTCTCCTTCCATATGTGAGATATCGCAGGAGTCTGGGGATGTGAGATGTCCTGGGAATCTCGTCAGGGGAAAACTTGCATGTTTGTTATGACAGATGCTACTGTAAAGGTCACACAGCCTGCAGACAGCATGGAGCTGGATGTCCTGGTGAGACTCTTGCTTATCCACAATGCTAAGAACTTATGACCCAATATAATGCC